AAAAAAAAAAAAAAAAAGATAGTATATGTATTTGAGTACTTTCCTCTGTGCTTCTATACCCGAGAATATATACTCATCAACAACTACTGTATATATATACATATACTTAGACATATATGAATATATATATATATATGTATGTATAGCTTGTTTTTTCCTTCTTATTTGCTTACACAAATGAGATTGTAACTACTACTTTTTACAGCTTACTTTTTAAAAACCAATGAAGCGTCTGGTCACAGTAGGTCATGTCTGTAATCTCATCACTTTGGGAGGCTGAGGTGGGAGAATCCCTTGAGCCCAGGAGTTCAAGACCAGCCTGGGCAAAATGGTGAAACCCCATCGCTACCAAAAATAGAAAACTTAGCTGGGCATGATGGGTCACACCTGTAGCACCAGCTGTTTAGGGGCTGAGGTGGGAAGATCACCTTAACCTGGAAGGCAGAAGTTGCAATGAGCTGAGATCATGCCACTGCACTCCACCAAGGGCAACACAGCAAGACCCTGTCTAAAAAAAAAAAAAGAAAGACATGTCATGGATATCAATGACCTCAATGTCCATAGCTCTAAATTATTTCTAATGACTACATAATATTTCATGATGACATGGCATCATAATGTATCTGACCATTCTGTATTCACAGGTACTCACTTCTGTTTCAATTTTACTGGTCCTATGAACAATATTGTGTGACAGTTTTTTAAAAATTCACTTAAAAATCATGTGTTTATCCATATTTCCACTTGTCTTTTCTGTAAATATATAAGAGATACACTATTTTGTGTGCCACATGTTTTGGTTAAAGTTCAAAGTTATTTTTTGATAGCCTCAAAGTCTTTGTAATCATGTTTTATTAGTAGCATAAAAATACTAACTAATCAACAGTGATGGATTATTAAAGAAAAACTGGTTCATATACTCAACAGAATGTCACTTTAAAAAGACTTTTTAGCAATAACCTTTACTTTCTTAAGTATTTTTTCTTTTTTTTATTTTTGAGACAAAGTTTCACTGTGTTGACCAGGCTGTAGTGCAGTGGTGCCATCATGGCTCACAGCAGCCTCAACCTCCTGGGCTCTGATGATCCTCCCATCTCAGCCTCCAAGGTGCTGGGACTACAGGCACATGTCACCACATCTGGCTAATTTTTTGTGTTTTTTTGTAGAGACAGGGTTTCACCATGTTGCCCAGGCTTGTCCTAACTTCCTGGACTCAAGCGATCTCCTGCCTCAGTCTCCCAAAGAGTTGTGATTACGGATATGAGCTACCATGACCTGCCAGGATGCTTGTAAATGGTATTCTTTTGATGAAGGTTCACCTCATACCTTATTACTTATCACCAACTTACGCCTGAATTATTTCCAAGTACACCTGACAATCTTACATATTTATTCTACATATGTTTTAAAGGTGTCATTTGACAAGAGTATGATTTGTTTCTCAGTTGTATGCTATAAGAATCTTTATAGTGTTTTCCCTGGATTAGCTGCCTGATGTGAACCCCAGCTGAAGGCACTTCCACATTGATTCCAGGCATCGATATCTCTTCAGTGTGAAAACTTTAATGTTCACGAACATAAATAATCTCTGAAGACTTTCCTCATTCATTACATTTAGAATGTTTATATGTGATTTCTCCTATTTATTCAAATTGTTTCTCTGGTATAAAGACCGATTTCATCAAGAGGATTTATCTTGCTAAAATTTTTCTACAGGCCGAGCTCGGTGGCTCACGTCTGTAATCCCAGCACTTTGGGAGCCAAGGTAGGTGGATCACCTAAGGTCAGGAGTTCAAGACCAGCCTGGCCAACATAGTGAAACCCTTTCTCTACTAAAAATACAAAAATTAGCTGGGCGTGGTGGTGGGCACTTGTAATCCCAGCTACTCGGGAGGCTGCAGCAGGAGAATCGCTTGAACCCAAGACGCAGAGTTTGCAGTGAGCCAAAATCGTGCCACTGGACTCCAGCCTGGGTGACAAAAGCAAGACTCCATCTTAAAAATTTTTTTAATTTTTTTAAAAACTAAAGATTTTTCTACATTCATTATAGTTTTAAAATTTCTCCCCAGAGTAAGTCTTCTTGTATACATGAAGGTTAGATGTATGCTGACAGCTCTCCCACGTTGGTTACACGCATAGGACTTTCTTCTCTGCCATCATGAATTCTCTTGTGTGTTAGCGGATGGCTGGATTCTTATTTATATTCATCACATTCATTCATTCATAGGATTTCTCAAGAAAATGAATTTTTGTTCATACTAATGAAGGATGAATGATTTCTGAAAGCCTTCCGATAGTATTTACATCCATATAAGTTTTTCCCCTTAGTATGTTACTCTTGTGCTGTTTAACAGATGATCAATATAGCCTCTTCCATGCTGAAAAAAATACCATAGAATTTCTCTCCTGTATGAAATCTCTGGTGTATATATGTATTAGTATTCTGGCTGAACTCTTGCTTACTTTCATTATACTCACAGGGTTTCTCTTCATTATTACTTATCACATGTCAAGCCAATTTAGAGGTGTGAATCAAACTTTCCCATACTCATTAAGGTAGAAAAGGCTCCTAACAAATGTGAAATCTCCATACTATCACACTATTAAATAATTTCTTCCTGCAACTATCTTGAGTGAAAATTACTTCTTGGTTTCTAAATACATTTTCTCTGCCTCTCAGGTCTTGGTAGAATTCTCTTTCTTCCTTCCATCGCTCCTCTCATTGCTTTTAACTGGAAAATTACTCAGATTTGCAGAGCTGAAAATCCAGTTGTAGAAAAAGCAGTATTAACTCAAGCCATCCTCAATGCTAATGCAAATTACTTACAAAGACAAGGTTATAACTGAAGGGTAATACAAGAAAGAGCACAGTCAACCCATAGAGGCCAGAAGACTGAACTTCTCCAGCATCTTATTTAGATACAGCTTTCTGTAAGATGAGTGAAGTCTGGAGCCTCATTCTTAAAGGTCACTTATTATTCCTGTGGCTGCCTCTTCAAGAATCCAGCTGTACCCTGTCTTCCTCTCTATACATTCCTAGGGACAGGCAAAGCACTAAGACTAAACAGCCATAAAAAGATGGGAAAGAGTTGGGGCTGTGTTATTATGGAAGACGCTATTGTCATACTATGGAGTTCAAAGCTTATTTTCTAACTTCTGGTTTCCCATTTTGGTTAAGCCTCTCCTGCCATAAGCCAAGATGATATATGCAGTCATGTAAATTTTCTTTACATCTTTATTTTTAATATGTTATAATTTAACCCATGTAGAGGTTCTTTTTTTGGTTCTTTTTTTTTTTTTTTTTTTTTTTTTTTTTTTTTTTAACCTAAGCTGTAATGAAGGAGTCCAACTTCAGATTATTCCAGATAGATGCTCTGTCAGGCCAGAACAATTTATGAAGCACACAATTACTTCTAAGCTGAAATATCATGTGTGTCATATATTAAATTCTCACACATACTAAAGTGAATTCTGGTAATTCAAATTTTGTTAGGCCATAAATTATTTCTGGGCATTTACCTTGTTTGACAAAGAAATACAGTGACTGACTGATCTTTTATAGTAACACCATATATTTGTCTTCTATTCCTAATTTTGATATTTTTGCTTTCAATTTTCTTCAGTCAGTATTGTGCTTGATATATTTTATAGAAGGATTTATATTACCTTATTTTACTAGTTTTTCTTTTCTATGTCACTAATATTGTTTTTATGTATAGTACTCTTCCTTGATAGTTTGTTTTATTTTGTTTACTTTTTCTGATTTCTAAGACAGGTCCGTTTTTTACTTTTTTATTTTAAAGAAAGAAATTAAGGATATAGTTTTTATTCTCAGTAAAGCTTTTGTTGTGTGTGCTACAGACTTTTTAAGTTTAATCCTTTCCAAGATGGTTTGGAATATGATTTTAATTTTCTGTTCAATCAAACATCTACCTAGGAATGTTTTATGTAATTTCCAAATTCTCATGTTAAAGGAATTTAAAAAATTTTTTTCCAAAGGATAAAACTTTTCTTTTAAAATACAGCTTGAAATAGAGTTCATTATATTAACCTACTCCTTGATTTTTGTTTTCTGTCCATAAATCTGTCCAGTTCTGAAAGAAATATATTGAAATATCCAATAATTATATTTGGTTTGGTTATTTTCTAGTTTAATTCAACTAGTTCAATTTTTAGTATGAAACATGGCAACATACAAATGAGCTTAAGAAAACACTTATCTATAAAACATTATGTTTAAAGGACAAAGAAACATCCATGTACAAAGACCCAGAATATCACTGACATCATAAAAGCCCACTATGTATCCCTCCCTGACACTGCAACTCTTTCCTCAGTGACCATTATACCAAACATTGCGTTAACCATTCCCTACTTTTTGTTTTAATATTACTTTTTAAAAACTACTCATTTTTGTATCCCTAAACTATATGCTATTTAATTATCTTGTTTTGAAATATAAGTAAATGCAATTATATTACAGTAAATGGCTTCTTCTTTGGTTTGCTATTTTTACTTTCCCTCAATTTCACGTGAATAATCATACATATTGCTGCATGAACAGTGGTACCTCCATTTTCACTGCTGAGTAATATTTTATTCACTAGATATGCTACAATTTATAGGCCCTTTCTACCATTGATGAATATTTGGAGTGTTCTCGTTTCTTTGCCACTATATAAGTAATATGATGGCCCAGCTGTGTTTGTATGGCCCACGAGTTAAGAATGGCTTTTACATTTTAAAATGTATGAAAAATGTAAGCATTACTCTTTAATTCACTTTAACCCCAAATGAAAGTGTCTTTTAACAGCTGTAATCCATCAGTTATGTTTGGTGTAATATGACTAGTCTGGGATGGATATGGGATTCTTGGATCACCATCCTTTTTACTCTCAGTGGCATGTAAAATTATGTCTACATCTCTCTGCTTCAAGTGTTGCAGTCTGATGCTAGTCTAATTATTTTGCCTTTGCAAGTATCTTTGCTTGTTTGTTTGATTGAGTATTTTGATTTTTCACTTTATCTTTGAATATTAGAACTTTTTCCCAGGCTATGCCTAAGTGTGGGATCAGTTTGGGGTTATTTAGCCCTCTCACTTGCAAATGGATAAGCCCTTACTAATATGAGCCTCAGATCTTTTTTTTAAGGACAAAAAATTTTTCGTCTACGATATTATTAGTTTTTTCTCCTTCATTGTCATTTTTCCCTCCTATTGCCTAAAACTTACATATTGGGGCTCCTTCATGATTTTTCTTGGATTTTTGCTCTGTCATTTGAGAATTATTTTGCAACAACTCTTAAAGGTCATCTTAGATCACCAATTTAAGTCTCAAGAATAACCATCCTTTTCAATTCTAGTGAAATTTTTCATTTCAAAATCAAATAATTTGTTGCTAAGTTGGTTAAGAATGTCATTTTTTAATCTTTTTAAATTCAGGGGGGTACATGTGCAGGTTTGCTATATGGATATATTACATAGTGGCGAGGTCTGGGTTTTTAGTGTAACCTTTATCTGAATATTTCACATTGTACCTAACTGGTTATTTGTCAAGCCTCATCCACCTTCTACCCTTGTAACCTTTTGGAGTCCCCAGTGTCTATTACTCTGCTCTGTATGTCTATGTGTATCCCCTGTTTAGCTCTCACTTATAAGTGAGAATTTGCAGCATAAAATTTTGTGTTTCTGGGTTATTTCATGTAGGGATAATGGCCTCCAGCTCCAACCATGTTGCTGCAAAAGACATGATTTCTTTCTTTTTTATCTAAAGAGTATTCCATAGTGTATATATGCCGCATTTTCTTTATCCAGTCATCTATTAATGGATACTTAGGTTGATTCCATGACTTTGCTATTTCTAAGACTTTCCATTTAATAGCGCTCCATTAAACATACAAGTTAAAGTCTCTTTTTGATATTGTTTATTTTCCTTTGGGTAGATATTCAGTAGTGAGAGTACTGAGTTGAATGATAGTTCTATTTTCAGTTATTTGAGATATCTCCACACTGTTGTCCAGAGATTATACGATTTACATTCCCCCCAACGGTGTCTCAGCATTTCCTTTTCTGTGCATCCTCACCAACATCTGTTGTTTTTTGACTTACTAATAATAGCTGTTCTGACTGGTGTGAGATGGTGTCTCACCGTGGTTTTGATTTGCATTTCTCTAATTACTGATGTGGAGCATTTTTTCATGTTTGTTGGATGCTTGTATGTCTTAAGAAATATCTGTTCATGTCCTTTGCCCACTTATTAATGGGGTTCTTTTTTTTTCTTGTTGAGTATTTGAGTTCCTTGCAGATTCTGAGTATTAGTCCTTTGTTGGAGGCATAATTTGCAAAAAAAAAAAAAGTCTTTTTTAAGCCATGCTTGACTATCCTTGGGTAGGTTTTTGTTTGCTTCTTTTTTTCTTATTATTCAAGTTATCATCTGTTTGTTCTACTCTTTTTTTCAAAGCTCTCTCAGAGGTGTTATTTCTCTGATCACTGGGTCATTAGTTGAGTTCTTATACGCCCATCTTACATCTTACATGGCAATCTCTGTTCCCATGGGCCAGCAGTTACTACAGCAGGTAGGGTGTCATTCCAGAGGGAGAAAACAGAAGGAAATCTCTCTGCTCCCTCTCCTCCCTGCTCTCTTTCAACCTTCTCCCCTCGGAGGTGGAGAGGATGTAGCCCTACTATTTAAATCTCCTTAGATTCTATTGTCTTCATTCTGAATCTCCATAATTTTCCAATTATCCACCAAAACAAAACAAAACACCCATCTGCCCCAAGGTCTCACTTATACCAGCTCTTTCTGAATTCTCAGCTGTACCAACCTTTTCTGGGAGTACCCAACAAAGCATTAGGCCTCACTCTTACCTCCCTGATCCTAACCACCATCCCAGCCAGCTAAGATAGATGGGTTTCAGTTGGGATTAAATTTTCAATCCACCAACTACTCAGAATCCAAATCAAGTGTTTTTGAAACTTAATAAATAAGATCCTCTGTGAGAATTAAAATTTTAACCAATCCTTACAAAAAGGCTACATTTTGGAAAAATAATTTTGTATTATTAACATAGCAATATAATGATACTGTAAACACTGTAGCACTCACAAACCTTTCTCTAGTTCCACTGGGAAAAGTTCCAGCTTTTCTACACGCTTTTCAAGTTCATATTCAGCTGAAGCAGCCACAGGGTCAACTTCATCATTTCTCCTGTCATAATCTTCATTGGAGTATGTGTTGAAAACCTGTAGTAAGAGACGAACAAAATTATAATACACACACACAAAAAACCTCCCAGGTATCCAAAACTATGTAAGTTTAAACATTCATGTGATGAATTTCTTCTAAACAATTGTTTTTGTCTTTAAAATCAATTGCAATGCTAAGAAAAGAAAAATTGAGTCAGTATTAAAATAACTAATTTTTAAATGTATGAGTCATAGTACCACTTTTAATCATTTAAGAGACAAAGTAGCCACAGAATACATTATTTGAATAGCAATATTTATCACCTTTTATAGAATCAGAATATGCCATATTAGCTACAACGCTCTGCTGTTTCAAACTAAGCTTAAGCATCTTGAAGCTACCTAAGCAAACACCTACCCTGAATCTGTTTCATGGTATGACCTATACTAGCCTGGAAGTAGCAGTGAGTCAGTATTATAATGCTATCTCAATCACAGGATCACTGAACCTGACCTCCATTCTAACACTGTCCTGGGCTCTTGTCATCCCTCATTTTACTTGCATATACATTTAAATTAAATTCTCATTGAAACTTTCTATTAAATTATTATGAAAATATCACTCAAGTGCTATACAGCAAACAGGATATTAACAGCTGTTTATGTCTTACCTATATCATTTAAAAGACAACTAAATGTGGCCTTCAGATATAGCCATAAGAAACTTCATTGTCCTTATTTCTGCTAAAATGTTTATCTGAAAAAGAACTGAAGTAGTTGTTCAATCCCTCTCAATACAGGAAGAAATAAATGTATAATTCATCAAGTTCAATTAATATGCATATTAAACACTGACATTTTCAGCTAAATTCAATAATTATTATGCACCTAAACTGTGCCTAAAGAAACTGTGTCCCCCCCCAAAAATCTTAAAATCTACGAGTAGCTTTTAAAATAATATTTGTTAAAAGATATAGTAAAAAAAGGCCAAAGATTAAAGAAATTATGTCTATTTCCTACAAAGCTGGCCTTGATGGTCTATGTGTACTTTACATTTATATTATTGGAAAATAGGTAATTCCTATATTCTATATATGGTAACCTGTAAACCAAAAATACATATGCATATATAGGAGCAGATGTAATACGGCTCCTAATAGTATATGCTTCTCAAAATAGTGTCATTTGTACGATTTGTACCTGAGTGGATACTGTTTATATTCCTGACTTTCAACATGTTTTCATGGCCTCGTGCCACTTAAATCCCTATTAGGTCTCTACCACATTTCTCCACCATAGTGAACCTTAATGCATCAAAATGCACATTTCCACACTATGGGGTTTGTGCTTTTATTTATATTTTCATAATATTTCATAAGTATTAGCATGTTTCTCATGGTAATTTTTTTTTTTTTCATTGAGACAGGGTCTTGCTCTGCACTCCAAGCTGGAGTGCAGTGGTAGGCTCACTATAGCTTCTGCTTTCTGGGCTCAACCAATTCTCCCATCATAGCCTCCTGAGTAGCTGGGATTACAGGCATACACCATCATGCTCAGCTAATTTTTAAAAAAAATTTTGTAGAGACAAGGTCTCACTATATTGCCCAGGCTGGTCTCGAATTCCCAGGCTCATGCAATCCACTGGTCTTGGTCTCCCAAAGTGCTGGGATTATCAGCTTAAGCCACCATGCCCAGCCTAATACTCTTCTTAAATTAGCATACTTATAACTTTGTCTTAGACAGCCCTTTTGATCTCTCACTTCCTTTTATATTTTTTAGTAATCATTCATTCACATTTATTCATTCAACAATAATTTACAGTTCTACACTTAGGCTTAACATTGTGATAGCATAGTCCATGCTAGACTATGGAGACGGAATAGTTTCTAGTATCTCACAGTTTAGGACGGACACAGAAATCAAAATAAGCACCTACAATATAATGTGGTAACTGATATAAAAGAAGCATATACCAACTAATTTTTTAAATAATTTTCCTGAGAAAGTATAGAATTTTGTGAAGGAAAGGATATTTGACCTGAATCTTGAAGAATAAACATAAATTCATATATCTGAATGCAGAAGAGAAGGAATGTATGTTTCAAATATAAGACCCTAGACCAAAATATATACACACACAGTCACATATCTATAGCTTTTTGGAAAACATTGATAGTTGAGTATACTACAATGGAAAATTCCTATAGGAGCGAGCTTTACGCACACACAAAAAAAGAGTTAGCTCGATCTGAGTCTCATGTCCTGGAAATCATTGGCAGATATGACTGGAAATTATTCATTAATATTTATTGCTTGTCTCCTACTGCTAATAGGTCCAGGTTTATGACTGCAAAATAATGTTTTAAACAGTATTCTTTCCGGAACACCACTCAATTTCACTAGTACTAGTAAGTAAATAAATAGGTATATGTGTGCCTATATACAAAGTAAGTACGAAAGAACTGTTTGTAATAAATAACTCTTTCCCAATTTTTTTTTTTCAGGATCCCAAATACTCTGCTATCAAAATGTTCTTCCCTATTGAAGCTGATTTATAAAGTTCATTTGAGGGTATTCTGAAATTAAATAAAACAAACGTAAAACGGTAAGACTGCATATTGAAAAGTGATACTTTGTATAATTTTTGAGACACCTAGCAATCAGACGACTATGCCATCATTTCATTCCTTAGAAAAGACATAAGTGTAATATGCTCTTCATCTTCAATACTCATAGGCTGGTAAATTAAGTCAGCATGCAGAAAACACTGCAAATTATTGAAAAAGAAAAATTAGGAGTCGTTATTTGGAGACTGAACAATTACTTGGATATTCCAAGAGGTTTAACAGAAAAATTATTAGAAGTAATAAGAGTTCAGCAAAGTGATATAACTTTTAAAACCCAATACCTATATACAAAAACAATTTAGAAAATACAACAAAATTATCAAAACAATAAAATACTTAGTGATTACCAACCATAAATGTACAAGAATTTTTCTCTCTATAAAACTAAGTGGTGAGTACAAAAAGCCCTAAAGAAAGTGCAATGCCATATTATTTTCCTGGATTAAAATCCTTAGTACTATAAAGATATCCACATTCCTGTAAGTATAAATATCAGTTTACCCTAAATTAATTTGTGTATTCAGGGCAAGAAAAATTAAAATCCTACCTATATTTTTCATGAAAACTAACAAGCTGTTTGAAAAAGAATAGGAGTAGAATCAGGCCCTAGTGGATATCAAAACATATAATAAAACTTCACTTATTAAGGCAATGTAGTTTGGGCTCTGGGATAGATTCATTTTTATATTCTGTTCCACTCCTTTTCTATTCAAATTAAAGTCATCTATTTAATAAATTATAAAAAGAATTAAATATCTATCTGAAAAATATCGCTATTTATATCATGAAAAAATACAATTCAGAACAAAAATATATACATATGTAAAAAGTGCTAAATGAAAATTTGGGACAATATTTAGCTAACTGGTTGGAAAGGAATTCACAGATCCTAGAAGTTCTAAAAGAAATAAATAATTTGATTAAAATAAAGCCTAAAATCTTCTAGACAATAAAAAATACCATAATGAACTTACAAGAAAAGTCACAGATTAGGAGAAAGTATGGTCAAATATTAAGATGAAACATGAATATTCATAATATAAAAAGGGCTTTATCAATTCAAACAATTGCATGTATAAGTAGGTAAAGGAAATTGAGAATTGAACAAAGATGATATGTCCAATAAATGATGTAAAGATGCTCAGCTTTATTAAAAAATTAAGCAAAAGCAAATTAAAACAAAAAGGTTCTATGCATTCATCCATAAGAGTGGATTTTTTAAAAAGATTACAACATCCAGGCCAGGCACAGTGGCTCAAGCCTATAATCCCAGCACTTTGGGAGACCTGGGAGGGTGGATCCCTTGAGATCAGGGGCTCGAGACCAGTCTGTTTCTACTAAAAATACAATTAACTGGGTATGGTGGCATGCACCTATAATTCCAGCTACTCAGAAGGCTTTGCCAGGAGAATCACTTGAACCTGGGAGGCAGAGGTTGCAGTGAGCCAAAATTCTGCACACAAGCCAGGGTGACATAGTGAGACTCTGTCAAAAAAAAAAAAAAAAAAAAAAAAAAAAAAAAAAAAAAAAAAAAAAAAAAAAAAAAAAAAAAAAAAAAAAAAGGACAACAACATCCAGTGTTTGTGGGGATACACAAAAAAGGATACTCTTGAAGAGGAAAGCATAATTAGATATTATCACATGTATCCTCAGAGCTTCAAATTTAAAAAAACAAAGTGGAAAAAAGTAGTTATCAATATTTTAAATGTAAATGTCTTTAACATAATAATGTCGCATATAAGTATTTACAGAAATACTTGCAAATGTGTATAAAGATGTATTTGCAAAGAAGTTCATTACAGCACTATCTGTAATAGCCCAAAACAGGAAATTGCCTAATTGTTCACCAATAGAGAAAACTGCTTGCTAAATTATGATATATACAAATATGTAATTCAATGCAGGGATTGAAGAGATGTATATCTCTCTATTGACATGGAAGACCCCGAGATACATTATTATTAAGCCAAAGACCCCGAGATATATCATTAAGCCAAAGAGTATGCTGCAGATATAGAGATAGATATTCCCAATTTGTATGATCCCCAATTGGTATGGTCTCAATTTTAACCTAATTTAAAGTCCCCTAAATTCCCTAGCTATGTAGCACTTGCCAAGCTGAAAAACCATGCTAAGTCTCAGCCTCTTTATTTACAAAATGGTTATTATAATAATGTCTATCCCCATAAGAGTATTATGAAAATAAAATGAAATAATCCATGCAATTATGCTTAGTTCAATGTACAGAGAGGAAAAGCTTTCCCAAGGTAATATGAGGGATAATATTTCTCCTGATACCTACTACTCATACCATACTCTCCTTTTGTTAAAATTAAATTTAAAAACATTTTTAATAGAGATGGGGTCTCACCATATTACACAGGCTGGTCTTGATCTCTTGGCCTTAAGCAATGCTCCTACCTTGGTCTC